GTAAAATAAGGCTATGAGAAAGAATAATATAAGATGTATGAAGTGATATAAGATTAAATAATAAAAATAGACCTTGACTCAGTATAAGCCTGGGGGGGAATTTTTCAGCTGGGAAAAACTAAAAATGGGTTATACTCAGTATATATGGTTCTTAACCCGGCTCTGGGAAGGACACTAATATAAATTGTAGTATAAATAATGTAATGTAACAATAGGCCCATCTGTGAAAGGCACTAAATATATAGTGTTATAATTACTATAGTAATATAATAATAAATAATAATAATATAATAATAAAAAATAATACATAGAGTAAAATAATAAATGTAATAAAAGTAATAGAGTAAAGTAATGTAAATGTAATAATAATAATAGAGTAAAATAATCAATGTAATAAAAATAATACTAATAGCAGAGTAAAATAATAAATAACCTTGACTCGAGTATAAGCCGAGGGGAACTTTTTCAGCCTTAAAAAAGGGCTGAAAAACTAGGCTTATACTCGAGTATATACAGTACTTGAGTTATCTCTCAGGAATGTCATTCGAAAAGATAAACACAGAGAACGAAAATTCTGAACATCTCAAATATTGGTAATAATTATATAATAGGTAATGTGATAATAAATATGGTAATAATAATAATAATAGATAAAAATAATAAATAACCTTGACTCGAGTATAAACTGAGGGGGACCTTTTCAGCCTAAAAAAAGAGCTGGAAAACTAGGCTTATACTCAAGTATATACGGTATCTAGCCCAGACTCTGGAAAGGCACTAAATATAAATGTAATAATAATAATAATAATAATAATAATAATAATAGAGTAAAATAATAAATAACCTTGACTCGAGTATAAGCTGAGGGGAACTTTTTCAGCCTAAAAAAGAGCTGAAAAACTAGGCTTATACTCGAGTATATACGGTATCTAGCCCAGATTCTGGAAAGGCAGTAAATATAAATGTAATAATAATAATAATAACAGAGTAAAATAATAAATAACCTTGACTCAAGTATAAGCTGAAGGGCACTTTTTCAGCCTAAAAAAAGAGCTGAAAAACTAGGCTTATACTCGAGTATATACGGTATCTAGCCCAGATTCTGGAAAGGCACTAAATATAAATGTAATAATAATAATAATAATAATAATAATAATAATAATAATAATAAAGTAAAATAATAAATAACCTTGACTCAAGTATAAGCTGAGGGGGACTTTTTCAGCCTAAAAAAGAGCTGAAAAACTAGGCTTATACTCGAGTATATACGGTATCTAGCCCAGATTCTGGAAAGGCACTAAATATAAATGTAATAATAATAATAATAATAATAATAATAATAATAATAATAATAAAGTAAAATAATAAATAACCTTGACTCAAGTATAAGCTGAGGGGGACTTTTTCAGCCTAAAAAAAGAGCTGAAAAACTAGGCTTATACTCGAGTATATACGGTATCTAGCCCAGACTCTAGAAAGGCACTAAATATAAATGTAATAATAATAATAATAATAATAATAATAATAATAATAATAATAGATAAAAATAATAAATAACCTTGACTCGAGTATAAACTAAGGGGGACCTTTTCAGCCTAAAAAAAGAGCTGGAAAACTAGGCTTATACTCAAGTATATACGGTATCTAGCCCAGACTCTGGAAAGGCACTAAATATAAATGTAATAATAATAATAATAATAATAATAATAATAATAGATTAAAATAATAAATAACCTTGACTTGAGTATAAGCCGAGGGAGACTTTTTCAGCCTGAAAAAAGAGCTGAAGAACTAGGCTTATACTCGAGTATATACGGTATCTAGCCCAGACTCTGGAAAGGCAGTAAATATAAATGTAATAATAATAATAATAACAGAGTAAAATAATAAATAACCTTGACTCAAGTATAAGCTGAAGGGCACTTTTTCAGCCTAAAAAAAGAGCTGAAAAACTAGGCTTATACTCGAGTATATACGGTATCTAAATAATAATAAGTATAAATATAAATGTATAATAATAATAATAATAGAGTAAAATAATAAATGAAATGAAAATAATAATAATAATAATAATAATAATAATAATAATAATAATAACAGAGTAAAATAATAAATAACCTTGACTCGAGTATAAGCCGAGGGGGACTTTTTCAGCCTAAAAAAAGAGCTGAAAAACTAGGTTTATACTCAAATATATATGGTATTTAACCCAGACTCTGGAAAGGCACTAAATATAAATGTAATAATAATAATAATAAGAAGAAGAAAGTAAAATAAGACTCTGGAAAGGCACTAAATATATATGTAATAATAATAATAATAATAATAATAATAATAATAGAGTAAAATAATAAATAACCTTGACTCGAGTATAAGCCGAGGGGGACTTTTTCAGCCTAAAAAAAGAGCTGAAAAACTAGGCTTATACTCGCGTATATACGGTATCTAGCCCAGACTCTGGAAAGGCACTAAATGTCAGAAAGTGGTAAATAATGGAAGAGAGAGACAAAATACCTTGGTCAAAAGCAGCTTTCTAAGTTGTTACAGAAGGCTAGGCTTTGTTTAGGTTGTGCCTTCTGTTACTAAGAGGCATTTTAGCCAAATTGATGTCATGTGTTGCATTTCTGGTTGCAGGAAAAAAGAAGTTGGCGGAGCGGCATACCAAAGTCTGCATTCAATGAAAAGAGTCTTGGATACTCACCGGAGAAGATGAATGGTCCTAGGCAAGTCAATGCGCAACCCTGAGGACTGTCAGCGCCGTGAAAAGACTGGGCAGAGGCAGCCGGCGTTGGACCAACCAGGGCCAGAATGGAAGGAGGAGGAACCCGCCAAAAGCTTTGTAGAGTCCCTGGGCTGGGATTAGACCATCACAAGGCATTGCTCACAACAGCTTTTTAATTAGGTCAGCACAAACCAGGCAAAGGGACCCCATTAAAAAAATTACAAAAGGCGGATGGGGGTTGGGTCTTTCCGGGAGAATGGGAGCGCACAAGAGAGCGAGCGGCCTTGGCTCAGAGAAGCGCATGGCAGGGGAGCCCGGCAGGACTCTGGGCCCGATTAGCCAAGTATAAAAGCTCCTTATTGTGTAACTGGGCCACGCTCATTAGTGTAACATACAGGGTGGAAGGAAGGAGTTTGGGGAATGTTGCAAGACGAAGGAATGGGGGAAAGTCCACATTTCATCACAGAGGAGCTGTATGTGAGAAGCAGAGGGTCAGGTGGCCCCATCACAGAGGTGTAGTCATCATAGAATAGAATCATAGAATCAAAGAGTTGGAAGAGACCTCATGGGCCATCCAGTCCAACCCCATTCTGCCAAGAAGCAGGAATATTGCATTCAAAGCACCCCTGACAGATGGCCATCCAGCCTCTGTTTAAAAGCTTCCAAAGAAGGAGCCTCCACCACACTCAGGGGCAGAGAGTTCCACTGCTGAACGGCTCCCACAGTCAGGAAGTTCTTCCTCATGTTCACATGGAATCTCCTCTCTTGTAGTTTGAAGCCATTGTTCCGTGTCCTAGTCTCCAAGGAAGCAGAAAACAAGCTTGCTCCCTCCTCTGTGGCTTCCTCTCACATATTTATACATAGCTATCATATCTCCTCTCAGCCTTCTCTTCTTCAGTCTAAACATGCCCAGCCCTTTAAGCCGCTCCTCATAGGGCTTGTTCTCCAGACCCTTGATCATTTTAGTCACCCTCCTCTGGACACATTCCAGCTTGTCAATATCTCTCTTGAATTGTGGTGCCCAGAATTGGACACAATATTCCAGATGTGGTCTAACCAAAGCGGAATAGAGGGGTAGCATTACTTCCTTAGATCTATGCTCCTATTGATGCAGGCCAAAATCCCATTGGCTTTTTTTGCCGCCACATCACATTGTTGGCTCATGTTTAACTTGTTGTCCACGAGGACTCCAAGATCTTTTTCACATGTACTGCTCTCGAGCCAGGCATGTCCCCCATTCTGTATCTTTGCATTTCATTTTTTCTGCCAACGTGGAGTATCTTGCATTTGTCACTGTTGAACTTCATTTTGTTAGTTTTGGCCCATCTCTCTAATCTGTCAAGATCGTTTTGAATTCTGCTCCTGTCCTCTGGAGTTTTGGCTCTCCCTCCCAATTTGGTGTCGTCTGCAAACTTGATGATCATGCCTTCTAGCCCTTCATCTAAGTCATCAATAAAGATGTTGAACAGGACCAAGACAGAACCCTGCGGCACTCCTCTGGGGCTCAGAGCGGCTTATAAAAATAGGCTAAAATCGAACACAATTTAAAACAATTTAAAAACAATCAGAAATCAAAGGCCCGTCGAAATAGATATGTCTTACATGCCCTGCGGAAAGCTAATAATCTAGTGCAATATTGGTAATTGAACATAGGAATGGAACAATGGACGACGAACCTGGACTACACTTTGATGATGAGACGATTGGGCTGGTTATTGTAATAATTGTTTAGTGTAATTGCTTGTTGTTTATTAAGTGGATAATGTGTTAAGTGGTCAATTGTTATATGTGCATTGAATTATTGCTGTTTTTATTGGGTGTAAACCGCTCTGAGTCGCCTTCGGGCTGAGAACAGGGGAGGCCCTGCTCTCGACCCCACCACTGTCACAAGTGAGGCTGGTGGGGACGAGGAGCAGGGCTTTCTCAGTGGTGGCCCCTCACCTGTGGAACTCACTCCCCGGGGAAATCAGAGCATCACCATCCCTCCTCTCCTTCAGGAGGAGGGTGAAGACTTGGTTATGGGACCAGGCCTTTGGGCAACCAGGCAATTAAAGACCAGCAGGATTGACGAAATGGTATCAAAAGCAGATCTATGAGACAGCAAACACTGACAATGTAAGGGAGGAATTAGGTTTGTATTGATTTTATTGATTTTATTGATTTTATTGGAATAATGCATGAAGCTGTTGGTAACTGTGAATTTATTGTAATTTGTGATGATTGTTGTGATGCAGGCATCTAATCGTGCCTTTACTGTGTAAGCCGCCCTGGGTCCCCTTCGGGGTGAGAAGGGCGGGGTAAAAGAACCCCAAATAAATAATAATAAACAGCGGTATATAAGCAAAGTAAATAAATAAATAAATAAATGATAAATCCCGCAAGGCACGGACTTCAGGTGGCAGAGTATTCCAGAGTGATGGTGCCACTGCTGTGAAGGCTCTGTGCCTGGTTGCTGTTAGATGCAAGGTCTTGACACTGGGGACTTCCAATAGATCTTGGTGCTCAGAACGGAGGGATCTCTGGGGTTTAATTTATTAATTGCCCTCCATCCAAGAATGCTCTAGGCGATTTACAGCTAAATTGTAAAAGATAAAATACATTTATTTATTTATTTATTTACTGCACTTGTAGACCGCCGTTCTCAGCCCTAGGGCGACTCACGGCGGTGTACAACATATAAAATCAGGAACAATTACAACATAAGCAATATCACAACAACAATAAACAACATCACTATCCATAATACAATTACACTAAATCATTCGCGACGTCTCATCATTGAATCACAATCCAAGTCTCGTTATCCATGTTCCGTTCCAGTCGTCATTGCCAATTGTTACAGCACTTACTCAAACGCCTTCTCAAACAACCACGTCTTTAATCTCTTGCGGAATGTCATAAGAGAGGGCGCCAATCTGATGTCCACAGGGAGGGTGTTCCACAGCTGGAACATACATACAGAAATTAAAAATTAACAGAGATACATACAGAAATTAAAAATCAACAGAGATCGAATGCTCTAGTAAAAAGCCAGGTCTTAAGTGCGAGAGTATTTCTTTTTCTTTTTTCTTTTTCTCTTTTTCTTTTCTTTCCTTTTCTTTTTTTTTTAATTATAAAAGATAAAATACAAAAAATTAAAAATTAACAGAGATTGAATGCTTTAGTAAAAAGCCAGGTCTTAAGTGCGAGAGTAAAAGGCCCTAAGTCACGCATGGCTCTCAAGTAGGGCGGCAAGGAATTCCACAAGGCAGGGGCAGAAATAGAAAAAGCCCTGCGCCTGGTCCTTTCCAAGTGCACTTCTCTAGGACCCGGTATATGGAGTAAGTCACGTTGGGCTGGTCGTTGCGACCTCCGATGATGGGAGAAGGAGAGGCGGTCCCTAAGGTACGATGGACCCTGGCCGTAAAGAGTTTTAAAGGTCAGAACTAGCATCTTATACAGGCCACGGTACTCAGTTGGAAGCCAGTGTAGATGTTGCAGCACTGGTGTTCTATGGCATTTCATGGGCGTTCTTGTGAGTAACCTGGCTGCCGCATTCTGAACAATATGAGCTTTCGGGTCGTAGACATCGGAAGGCCCACATACAGGGCGTTGCAATAGTCCAGCCTAGACGTGACCGTGGCATGGATGACAGTTGCCAGAGCCTCGTCAGATAGGGAGGGTGCCAGTTGCCTCGCTTGTCATAGATGGAAAAAGGCCTGTTTGCTGGCAGCAGCCACCTGAGCTTCCATTGTCAGCTGCGAATCCAGGACGACACCCAAGCTCTTAACAGTGGTCGATGGAGATAGGGCAGCACCATTGAAGGTGGGTAGCAAATGGGTCAGACCAATCGAGCGGCCATGCCAGAGAATCTCAGTCTTCGCTGGGTTCACCTTCAGTCTGCTAGCACATAGCCAGTTCGACAGAGCCTCCAGACATTGGGTGAAATTGTCTGGAATTGACGTTGCTCCAGGCGCAGAAGGAGTTGGGTATCGTCCGCATATTGGTAGCAGTCCAGGCCGAAACTCCGTTTCTCCACATTTATACTAATAAAATTTAGAGGTTATTTTCATAGGTAAAGGTAAAGGTTTCCCCTGACATTAAGTCTAGTCGTGTCCGACTCTGGGGGTTGGTGCTCATCTCCATTTCTAAGCCAAAGAACCGGCGTTGTCCATAGACGCCTCCGAGGCCATGTGGTCGGCATGACTGTATGGAGCGCCATTACGTTCCCACAAAAGGGGTATCTATTGATCTACTAAAATTTACATGTTTTTAAACTGCTAGGTTGGCAGAAGCTGGGCCTAACCCTGCTCCCCAGATTCAAACCGCCAGCCTTTCGGTCAGTGGTTTAACCCGCTGTGCCACCAAGGGGCCCTTTTATACTGCACTTTAAACATCTATTGGAAATTCCCAGTGCCAAGACCTTGCGTCTAACAGCAACCAGACGCAGAGCCTTCACAGCAGTGGCACCATCACTCTGGAATACTCTGCCACCTGAAGTCCGTGCCTTGCGGGACTTATCAGCTTTCTGCAGGGCATGTAAGACATATCTGTTTTGACGGGCCTTTGATCTTTGATATTGCTGTTTTAAATTGTTTTTAAATTGTTTTAAATTGTGTTAGATTTTAGCCTGTTCTTGTAAGCCGTTCTGAGTCCAGGGGAGTGGTGGCCCATAAGTTTGAATAATAAATAATGAATAAATAAATAAATAAATAAATAAATGAGGAAAATAAGTATTTAATATTCCCTAACCAGCACAGATTCCTACTTCATCTGCACACATTTCTAGGATCTTTATATTGATATCTGTTCAGCAGCTCAGTGGTTTAATCTGCTGAAACACCAGGGGGATCCCTTATTATTATTATTATTATTATTATTATTATTATTATTATTATTTCAAACACAACAAGATGAATGTATTGTCGAAGGCTGGAATTTCATGGCTGGAATCACTAGGTTCTTGTAGGTTTTTTCGGGCTATAGGGCCATGTTCTAGAGGCATTTCTCCTGACGTTTTGCCTGCATCTATAGCAAGCATCCTCAGAGGTAGTGAGGTCTGTTGGAAATAGGAAAGGGTTTATATATCTGTGGAATGGCTGGGGTGGGGCAAAGAGCTCTTCTCTGCTGGAGCTAGGTGTGAATGTTTCAACTGACCACCTTCATTAGCATTTGAAGGCCTGGCTGAGCCTGGGAAAATCTTCTGTTGAGAGGTGTTAAGATGTGCCTGGTTGTTTCCTCTCTGCTGTTTT